TTTTGCAGTCCTATTTCTAGCCTTTTGTTTGTTTTGTTTTATTGGTTCTTTTGTTTTATTTCTCTATATTTCACATATGAGTGAAATCATCCAGTATTTATCTTTTTCCCTCTGGCTTATTTTACTTAATATAACTCCCTACAATTCCATCCATGTTGGTACAAATGGCAAGAGTTCACAATTTTTATAATTAAATAGTATCCCATCATGTTTCTGTATACCCGTATTAATCTGGTTATTTGCATTCGGCCCTTAGGTTGCTTCCATAGCGTGGCTATTGTAAATAGTTCTGCAATGAACATAGGAGTGCATATATCCCTTTGAATTACATTTTTGCTTTCTTTGGATAAATGCCAAGATGTGGAATTGCTGGATCATAGGGTAGATATGTTTTTAATATTTTGAGACACTCTATAATGTGTTCCATAGGGGCTGGACCAGTATACAAACTGACAAAGAATGAGGGTTATTTTTTCTCTACACCCTCACCACCATTTGTTGTTTATGTTTGTTGGGTTTTTATATGGGCCATTCTCAATAAGATGGTATCTCATTATGGTTTTGATTTACATTTTCCTAACAATAAGTGATGTTGATCATTTTTTCATATGTCTGTTTGCCATTTGTATGTCTTCTTGGGAGAAGTGTCTGTTTAGCTCCTCTCCCCATTTTTTATTTAGGTTCTTTGATCTCTCTCTCTCCTCTCCCCTCTCCCCTCTCCATTTCTCTCCTCTCTCTCTCTCTCTCTCTCTTCTCTCTCTCTCTCTCTCTCTCTCTCATTGTATGAAGTCTTTGTAGATCTTGGATTTTAGCCCCTTGTTAGATATATGATGCACAATTTTTTTTTTCATTCAGTAGGGTGCCTTTTTGTTTTAACGATAGTTTTGGGGTTTTTTTTTTACAGTGCAGGAGCTTTTTAGATTGATGTAAATCCATTTGTTTATTTTTGCTTTTATATTCCTTGCGATTGGAGTGGAGTCCCCAGAGACATCACTAAAGCCAATGTTGTGAAGTGTTTTGCCCATGTTTTCTTCCATGTATTTAATGGATTCTGGTCTTACATCCAAGTCTTTAATCCATTTTAAGTAATTTTTTTCTGTTTGGTGTGGGAGAGTATCCTAGATTCATTTTTCTGCGTGTGGTTGACCAGTTTTCCCAACACCATTTGTTGAAGAGATTTTCCTTTCTCCATTGTATATTCTTGGCTCTTTTGTCATACATATTTAATACTTTTGAATTCAATTTTAATTTTCCCACAGTTTTCCACAGCTCCCATAGGATCAAGACCCTAAGTGACCTGCCTCTCCCAGCTGGTGGATGGAGGCTGGGTTCCTACAGCTTATATCTGGAAGCTTGGAGGAGCCTGGCTCTTACAGTTGGCAGCTGGGGTCTTGCAGCTGGCAGCTGGAGGCTGGGAACTGCCAGATTCTCACTCACCCAGCTGGAAGATAGAGGCCTGGATCCTGAAGCTGGAGGCTGAATGCAGGGAGCAGCCTGCTGGAGGCCTGACTCAAGCAGCTGATAACTAGATAGTGGGGTTACCCATCTCAGTCTCATAGCTGGCGGCTGGCAGCTGGTAATTGGTAGCTAGGAGTGGTTGGGCTGGCATTTGGTCTCTCAGGGTATCTGGCAGCCAAGCTAAGGACACTTCCTATGGCTGTTGCTCCCAATGTACACTCCAGTCCTCTGTGTTACCTTTAGGAATTACTGGCTTTGTTCTACCATGCTGGAGCTAAGAGTACAAGGAGAATAAATGCTTTTTACTCTGCCTACATCTTGCTGGAGCAAGGGTGTACCCTGCTATCAAAATATTTCTTTATCTTTTTGGTTCATAAAAATAGTAGATGTACTGATTTCCTTACCCTGTGAATCTGGTGAATGCATTTACAACATGGTTAAGCCATTCTGACCAATCTATGTTCTGAACATTGATCTAACCTTTGCAACCCACCTAACACATTCATATGTGCAATACATTATAAGTTCTGGAGATACAATGTAAAATACATGGTCTTAACTCTTGAGGAGCAAATAACTTGTTTAGTGACACTCTGTGCAAGTCTTCAGATGTGACCCTGAAACAGAGCAAACCCAGGGGGTCCTTACCAATGTGCTTAAAACTGTGAGACATGACTCAAAAAATAGACATATGGGGACAAATAACATTAACAAAATTTACTTACATAAGGAGTGAAAAGAAAGTAAGAAAGAGGGAGAATTTATAGGTCAGCACATGGCTGGATATAGTCTGGATATAGACTATAGCCAAGTGAGAAAAATTTAATTAATTAATTTTTAATTAATTGGAGATCTGGAACCAGAGGGCAAGCTTATGCCAGCCATAAGCTTGAGACCAGAGCTCAGGGATTAGCATGCAAAACTGCAAACATCTGCAAGGAGACCAGCCTGTTTGTATTCCAATCTTTTAGTTTTCGTGGTTACTCTGCTTCTCCCCTAGTTTCCAGCTTCCCTCCATTACTGAAGCCAGGGTGGTTGGAGTTCAGAAAGCTCTACCTTCAACCTTCCAGCACCATTCACTGCCTCTAAGGTTGTTGGTCCCAGCCATCATCAGGGTTACAAGGTGGAGCCAGGATGTCCAAGAAGGGTGTGGGGCTGCCCACTGTACCAATCCAGTGCAGGCTGACCCAATGGCTGTGAAGCCACAGGAGCCACTGGCCTTGGTGCACTTGGCCTATGAATCCAGGGTAATGCCTGCAATCACTGCTCTGGAGGCATAGCTCATGAATGTTGAAGGTCATCCACTCCTGGCCTGTTCATACAACTGATGGTATAATGCACAGTGCTGTAGAGAACCCAGAGCATGCCATGCATGCCTGGGTGGTCATGCATGGGACGGACATACTGGTCCTGAGCAGGAACATACCTACGCTAAAGTTGTCTTCTTACAAATGAACATGCAGGCAACTTGAAGCAGGCTATGCAGCAGTGACTTCAGTGTGACCCTAATCACTCTCAAGTGCTGGCAGCTGTCAGTAGAAGCAGGAAACCCTGCAGGATGGCCAAGTGGCCACTGTGACCTCATTCTGGTCTCGCTTGGAGGCTGCTCCTCCAAACAAACCTATCAGGAATTCGGCTGACTAATATGGACCACATTTTGGGAAATTTGGCAAGTTTTGTTGTCCAGTGTTTCTTTAGCCATTTGCTTTAGGACATCATGAATTGTCTCCATATCATTCTTCAGCATGTTCATTTCCTTGAGGATGATAAGGTACAACAGGACAAGGGAAAGGAGGAGAACTGATATTCATTGAATGCCCACAATGTGCCAGGAATTGTGCTGGATATGTTATAATTTGTTCAATTTTTAAACCTGTGAGATAGGGGAAATTATATGATTTTTAATACACATAAGAGGAAAAGGAGGCTCAAGGAAGTTATTTTGATTACACAATTTGTAAGGCACAGAGCCAGAATTGAAATCCAACTCTAACTCCAGAGCTTATTTATTTCTGCCACACCAGATTGTGAAGCTGGTAATGGAAACATGAATCATGCTATCAGTGGCCAGGGAACTCAGGAGCAAATCAGAGTATGTTGTAAATAGTTCAGAAATAAAATGTTGTCTTTTGGGAGATGGACCAGTCTGAGAACGCTGCCATGGTAGCTAAGATGATTTAAAGGGAATTCCAATTCCACATTTTAATTTTTCACTTGAATATTTCATTGATTTTTATATAGCATTAGGGTTTTTTCCCCGTTGCATTTATTTTCTCTATTGTTTTTCTGTATTGAATTTAATTGATTTTTTAAATCTTATCTTTACTATTTGCACAATTCTGCTTGCTTTGGCTTATTTTGCTATTCTTCTTCTAGTCTTTTTCATTAGAAACTTAGATTATTGATTTGAGACTATTCTACTTATTTAATGTAATCATTTATGCTATGCATTTCTGGCTCAGCACTGCTATAACTGTACCCCACAAATTTTGATATGTTGTCATTTTCATTCAGTTTTTGTGTTTTTTAAAACAATTTTATTGAGACATAATTCACATGTAATAAAATTCACCCTTTTGAGGGGGACAATTCAGTGGTTGTTAGTCTATTTTTTAAAGTTGTGCAACCATCATCACTATCTAATTCCAGGATAGTTTCATCACTCCAAAAAGAAACTCCATACACATTAGCTGCCACTCTCCATTTCCTCCCAAATCCCTCAGAGACAATTATTAATCTACTTTCTGTCTACATGAAATTTCCAATTCAGTACATTTCACATAAATGGAATCATACAATATGTGATCTTTTGCATCTGCCTCTTTTACTCATGTTTTCAAGGTTCATCTACTTTCTGCCATATACTACATCCCTTTTCATGACTGAAAAATATTTTACAGTATGAATATACCAAGCTGTATTTATTCATCAGTTTATGAACTTTGGGGTTTTCTACATCTATGTATTTTTAAATTTCTCTTGTGATATCCCATTTGACCCATAGATTGCTTAGAAGTTATTTTATGATTGCCCCAGGAATTACTGTAAGCATGTATAAGCTATCAGTCTACTGGTGTCAATATTTTATCAGTGTGAGTGGAGTATTGACCTTGTTTACTTACAATAGGTTTTACATTTCCCAGTTGACTATATTAAACCCTCTACATACATTGAGAACTACTTCAGACAATGTTAAAGTTTTGCTTCAATCATTAGACATCATTTAGTAATCTTAGAAATGAAATTTGTGGCTTCCCACTTCCATAATGTCATAATTTATGGGAGAGGAGTGATAATCATAATCAGGTAACAGTAAAAGTCTACACTCCACAGTCAGCCTTTGCTGATGGAAGAGGAGCCCCATTTTTTTCCCATAGTGTTTTACTGGAGTAGAAAATTTTTCTGAAATGTTTCTGTCTTGCTGATTGTCCCCTTTGGCTCCTTGGCAAAAAAAGAATAGACTTTAATTGGGACTTTATATTCTGACCCATGCCTGTTGATGTTTCTGGGTTGTTGGCCAGAAAAAACCCCAAAATACTCACCATCATGTTATTCCTTGGGTCTTGATGTCTTTTGTCATTCTGCCTTTTCCACACATTTCAGGGTCTTCTTATGTTTGTTTGTCTAGTATCCAGGGATTTTGGCTTGTACTTATTTGGAGGCCTACCAAAAAAAGTAAATTACTCCTTCTTGTTCATAATTGCAAGTGTCTCTCTTGCACATTATATTATTTGTATATATTTACAATAATTATATTATTCATCTTATTATTATTCTTATTATTTTTAAAGATTTATTTATTTTTATACAAGAACTGGGGCACAGGCCAGAAGTATAGGAGGGTGAGAGGATTCACCAGAGACAGAGCAGGGAGCAGAACAGGCAGATGACTGAAATACACTGCTCAGTGGAGCAGCGGGGGTGACAGGAGAGGTCTGCTGCACCATCTGGGATTCTCGCAGGCCAGGCCAGGATCGAACCTGCACTGCAGAGGCTGTGTACAGCTTCACATGGCTGTGCGCAGCCCGCTGAGCCACCGGAGAGGCCCACATCTTTTTATTATGATCTAATTCTTTTTATATGTATATTCTCAAAACAAATTATTATATATGTATCAGATATTTTCTTCAGTCTGTGGTTAGTCTTTTTACTATTGTTTATTTTTATGAGAAGTTTTTAATTCTGATAGCCTAATTTAATGTTTTGGTTTTTTTTTTTTTTTCATTTATTGCTGGTGTTATTTTTTTTTTGGGGGGGGGGAACTGCTTATCCCTGGGTTGCAAAGGCATTTTTTCATGTTTTCTTCTGGAAGATTTATAGTTTTAGCTTTTACAATTAGGTTTGTGATCCATCTCAAATTGATTTTTGTGTATGCTATGAGGTAGATACCAAGGCTCATTTCTTACATATTCAGTTGTTCCCCCACCATCAGTTGAAAAAATTTTCTTATCCCATTGAATTACTTTGTGGCCTATGCAGAAAACTAAATGGCTGTAATCATGTGGGTCTATTTCTGGATTCTCTCCCTTGTCTCCTCTTATCATTGATCTATTTGACTCTATGCTTTGTAAAATATTTTAACTATAATGTCATTTAATTAAACTATTTCATTATGTTTCTACTATTAATTTCTTTTAACAATAAATTAATTTGGCAACTCCTTCATAGGAAAGATATTGGTTCCACAAAACAAGGAAGAGAAAAAGAAATTTGAGTTATAGGGGGGCAAAGACAGTAATTTCAAATGTACAAAGAAATTTTTTCTGCTCCAATCTAAAACTGCACACACCTGCCCTTACTAATATTATGCATATATAATATACTATATATACTGCATAAACCTATATGCTATATATGTATGCTGTTTTTCTCCTATTTTAAAAACACTATCTTTTTCTTACCTATTTTCCATAGCAAAACTGAAAGAACACATCTATAATTGTTCTCTTGAATTTCTGTCATAGTTTTTCAATTCATTCCAATCAGGTGACATTAGGTTAATGACTGGAGTTCTTTCTACCATTCTTTCTCAACATAGGCATTTATCACTACTGTAGTTGCAAACTATAAGGTTTGTTATGTTGTATACTGATTTTAATTAGTCTCAAAACATTTTTTTCTTTTTTAAATCTTTTATTTGGTCTATTGGCTAAGTTAACTATATGCTGTTTAATAGCCACATATTCATGAATTCCCAAATTTCTCCCCATTATTGATTTCTAATTTCATTCCATTGTGGCTAGATAACTGACTTCATAATATTTCTACCCTTTATATTGATTGAGATTTGTTTTATGACCTAGTAATAAAGTCTATCCTTGAGGATATGAACATCTTTTTTTTTAATTTTATTTTTATATTTCCCATACAATTGCAACCCCCTTATTTTGACCCCAATCCCTCCCCTCCCCGCCCCCACCCCCATAGAGTGTCTCTGGTTCATAGTTTTTTGTTGATTTTGATTTTCACTTTCTTATAGTTATTCCTTTTCCTGGTCCCTTATTTAAGTTTTCTAGATTCCTGCTATGAGTGAGACCATCCGGTATTTTTCTTTTTCTTTCTGGCTTATTTTGCTGAGCATGATCCCTTCCAGCGCCATCCATGTTGCTGCAAATTGCATGTGTTTATCTTTTTTGAAGGCTGAGTAATATTCCATTGTGTATATGTACCACATCTTCTTGATCCAGTCATCTATTTTTGGGCATTTGGGTTGTTTCTAAAGCTTAGCTATTGTAAACAGTGCTGCTATAAACATAGGGGTGCAGGTACTCCTTGGAATTAATGTTTCTGTGTCCTTTGGGTAAATACCTAGGAGTGGAATTGCTGGATCAGAGAGTATGAACATCTTTTCATGTGTCTATTAACCATTCATTTGTCTTCTTTACATAAGGCTCTATTCAGAACCTCTGTTCATTTTTAAATTGGGTTTTCTTTTGTTGTTGAGCTTTATGAGTTCTTTATATATTTTGGATATTAACCCCTTGTTGTATGTATGATATGCAAATTTATCCCATTTGCTAGGATGACATTTCATTTTGATGCAAGATTCTTTTCCTGTGCAAAAGATATTTAGCTTGATTTTGTCCCATTTGTTTATTTTTGCTTTTTTTAAAAATATTAATTTATTTTTTTATTTCCTTATATAAATGTTCATTTTTTTAACATATTGATTTCTCCCCTCAGGTGTAGTCCCACTCCCACTGCCAAGATACCCATGAACCATCACCATAGCCCCTTGAGCTCTTCCCGCCCCTGTTTTGACCCCTCTTCCTTCTCCTGCCCGAAAGTAAGCCTCTGATCTATGGTTTGCCTGCAAGTTTTGTATTTTTGTTTTTGTTCTCTTGCTTTAGGAGTAGAGTCCATACTGATGTCAAAGAATGTATGGCCTGTGTTTTCTTCTATGTATTTTATAGTTTTGGGTTTTACATCCACGACTTAATCCATTTTGAATTAATTTTCATGTTTAGTATAACATGGTGATCTAGTTTCATTCTTTCCAAATGACTGTCCAGTTTTCTCAATGCCATTTATTAAAGACTTCCTTTGTTTCATTTTATGTTCTTGGCTCCTTTGTTGTAAATTAGTTGTCCAGATTGCAGATTTGCTTGAGTAGATGGTTCTTCATTTGGCAGTTGCACTCGGGAACATTTCCAGAGGTTTTAACACTTTAAAAATATTTTTCAATATGATAATATCAATAGATGCTGAGAAAGCTTTCGACAAAGTGCAACACCCATTCATGATAAAAGCCTTGAAATTCTTGGATACAAGGAACATACCTCAACATCATAAAGGCCATCTATGACAAGCCAACAGCCAGTATCATTCTCAATGGTGAAAAGCTGAAAGCAATTCCATTAAGATCTGGAACAAGACAAGGAGGTCCACTCTCACCACTGCTTTTCAATATAATACTGGAAGTCCTAGCCAGAGCAATAAGACAAGAGAAAGACATCCAAGGAATCCAAATAGGAAAAGAAGAAGTCAAACTATCACTATTTGCAGATGATATGATAATATACATAGAGAACCCCAAAATCTCCACAGAAAAACTAATTCAACTCATCAATCAATTCAGTAAAGTGGCAGGATACAAAATCAACACGCAAAAGTCAGTAGCCTTCCTATACACAAACAACAAATCTGAAGAAGAAGAAATCAAAAAAACCATCCCTTTTATTATCGAAACAAAAAAAATCAAATATTTGGGAATAAATCTAACAAAAGAGGTAAAGGACCTATACAAAGAAAACTATAAAACACTGTTAAAAGAAATAGAAGAAGACACAAAGAAATGGAAAGACATCCCCTGCTCATGGATTGGAAGAATAAACATTATTAAAATGGCCATCCTACCAAAAGCAATATACAGATTCAATGCTATTCCAATCAAAATTTCAATGTCATTCTTCAAAGAAATAGAACAATTATTGATGAAATTCATATGGAATCACCAAAAACCCCGAATAGCCAAAGCTCTACTGAAAAAAAAAGAAGGAAATGGAGGCATCACACTCCCAGACTTCAAACTATACTACAAAGCCATAATCATCAAAACTGCATGGTATTGGAACAAGAACAGACATACAGACCAATGGAATCGAATAGAAAATCCAGAAATAAACCCACAGATTTATGGTCAACTAATCTTTGACAAAGGAGCAAAGACTATGCATTGGAGCAAAGAAAGTTTGTTCAATAAATGGTGCTGGGAAAACTGGGTCGCTACATGCAAAAGAATGAAGCTTGACCACTACCTCACACCATACACAAAAATCAACTCAAAATGGATTAAAGAACTAGACATAAGACCTGAACCCATAAATACATAGAAGGAAATATAGGCGAAACACTACGGGATTTGCACATCAAAGACATCTTTACAGACACATCACCCAAAGCAGTGATAGTGAAGGCAAAGATAAACAGCTGGGACTACATCAAATTAAAGAGCTTCTGCACAGCAAAAGAGACAATAACAAAACAAAGAGAAACCCCACCAACTGGGAGAACATTTTTGCACACAACACTAATGATAAAGGACTGATCACAAAAATCTGCAAAGAGCTGATGAGACTCAACAACAACAAAGAAAATAATCCAGTCAAAAAATGGGCAGAAGAGCTAAAAAGAAACTTCTCTGAAGAGGAAATGCAAATGGCCAACAGACATATGAAAAAATGTTCAACATCACTTGTCATCAGGGAAATGCAAATCAAAACTACCATGAGATACCATCTTACACCAGTGAGAATGGCACATATTAAAAAAACTAGCAACAACAAATGTTGGTGAGGATGTGGAGAAAAAGGAACTCTCCTGCACTGTTGGTGGGAGTGCAAACTGGTCCAACCACTGTGGAGAGCTGTGTGGAGATTTCTGGACCTACTAAACATAGAGCTTCCATTTGATCCAGCAATTCCACTCCTAGGTATTTACCCAAAGGACACAGAAACATCAATTCCAAAGAGCACCTGCACCCCTATGTTTATAGCAGCACTGTTTACAATAGCTAAGCTTTGGAAACAACCCAAATGCCAAAAATAGATGACTGGATCAAGAAGATGTGGTACATATATACCATGGAATATTACTCAGCATTCAAAAAAGATAAACACATGCAATTTGCAGCAACATGGATGGCGCTGGAAGGGATCATGCTC